TATAAACTTCGATAAATGCTTTTAAATGATACAAAATATGGGGTCAATATTGTCGTAAAATAGACTGTGAAATAGAACGTTATGACAAGTTTATGTTGCGTAGCAGTTTTCATACAAAATAATACTAAGTACTGACCTAAGACATTGCAGTCAGGCGATTTAAATAGAAAACATAATTTAGAAACACATGAATATCACAAAAACAATATTATCATAACTACAACTTTGTGATGTGGCATAATAACATATGAGTGAACTTCATGGAAAATTAATATTTATTAACTTCCTATAGGGAATCGTCCAAAAATCGAAAAAACGGATGTTTGTGTGTGTATGTATGTGTGGATACAATTTTTCGTCCACGTTTTCGCGTGCACGGATCTACCGATTTGAATGGCTCAAAAAGTATTCGATTCCTATTGATATGTGCTCATTAGTTTTTGGCAAACGCAGGTCCAGTCGTTTTGGAGAAACCGAGCTAAATATGCAAAAAACGTCGGTTTTTAAGAAAACTAAGCACTTGATATAAATGATTCAAAAAACTTTCTGCTTGAAACGATTGCTTTTGGGATTTTTTTTTATTTCCAATTTTTTTTTTTTTTTTTAATTTGAAAATATTTCGAAGTTGTAAAGCTCAATAATATACTTCTAATAAACAATTTTAATTTTGCAATTCAGTTTAAAAATGTATATATTTCATATGCGTTATTCTACTCGTAAGAAATATGTCCTCAGTTGGATTCATTCGGCATATCTCTTCTTAATGTGAACTGTTTTATGTCTTTTGAGTGATAAGATCTGTACATTATATGAACGAATAAATACATAGTAATTATAATAATCTCTTTGAAAATATTTGAAATAATTGTTATTAATCATTAATCAATATTTATTCTTTGCTGATTTTTTTCCCTCGAATATTTAATTCTGGTAAGGGATTGGGTTCCAGCAATTTGCCTTGAGGAACGATGCCGTACACCACTAGTTTTTAGTCCATTTTGCCTTAAAACTAATTATGACCTAAAAAAGTAATATGCGGAATTTTTGTTGAAACCTTGAATGTGTAGAAACTTTCAGGGTTCATTAGATATATTTTTAAGAAACACTATATCCAAATACTTTATCCAGAATTGATAATTGCATCTAAATAAATTGGAATTAGTAAATTTGAATTCAAAATAAACTTCATATCGATCCGTTTAACATCTCTCGTGCGACAACGGCTTAAAGTTCAGTAATATCAGTTTATTTAGGTACATTTGGGAGATCATAACTCAACGTGTAGTGTTAAAATTGACGGCAAGGCTGGCACGTCGGAGATAAATGCTTTTAGCGATATTTATTCGAATTGTGAGGAGAAAATTTCAATTGATGGTGAAGAAAAGTTATTTACGAAAATGTACCCTTAAAATGAAATGCTATTAGTGAAAAAATGTGCAAAATATAAAATATATTCAAATAATGGAAAGAAAGAAGAATGCGTGAGTACACATCAAATTATATGAAGAATAATTAATTTATATTTATTACAGAATAAATGTTTTAGATTATATAAATTTTAGAGGACTTGTTGTTTCTTTGAACATGTTCACAATAATAACTCATTAGAAAAATCAATTATACTGGATTTAGCATGACCTGCATATCAGGATACTGACATTGGTGTAATATCATTATTTAATATCAAACTTCCAAGGTTTAATCAAATATAAAACAGTTGATGATATGAAAAAAACGCCAGAAGAAAGATGTCTTTATTGTCAAACGTTTCGGGAACTGATTTGGCCCATCTTCAGTGCGTACACCAAACAAATATGATACACCAATTAATATCTCAACTTTCCTAATAATTATATATATATATATATATATATATATATATGTATGTATGAGTGTGTGTGTGTGTACATAGACGTGACGATGTGATAAACATAGACGTTTTTAATGGCATCTTTCTGAATTTTTACCATTTGTCGATAATGCAAACAAGACGTAGTATAATGCATTCGTATGAATGTCTGTTAAAACAAATACTTTTTCGCCGCAATCATACTTTGAATAATTATTATGGATTTTCAAATAATACATAAATAAAATAAACATAATGTTTATTTTTTGGGAAAAATCTTTATTGTTGCTATGCTATTTAGTCAATAGCATTAATTTTACAGAAAAAATATGTAGATACATGTATAAGTGGAAATAATAACAATATTTATATTTTTGATTTTTTTGATATTTTAACATACCAGTAATTAATTTTATATGAAATAATCATAACGTATCAAATTAATTATTTATGTTTTAAACTCATCCATGACTGTTTTTTAATTATTTAAACAAAAAAATACCATTTTGTGATGCACTTGATTCAATTACGTTAAATCTTAGTAAATTTTAGATAATAAATATGTTATGCAATTATATTATTTCTAGTTTTTTATTATTAGTTCAGCAAGAATCAAAACTAGAGTTTTACATTTATTTATTGAACGAATGAATTTTATATTAAAATATTGCGTTTTATCTTATACGAAATTTTATAATATGAACGGTAAAGAACAAAATGTTGTTCACTGGATCTTCATACATAAGTTATTTTCAAATTTAGGAGAAAAAAATATTTTGAAAAAAATCATTCGAAATGAAATCATGACATCATTAATTTAAAAACAGTATATATATAGTGCGACAGGTGGGCTAGATTATTTTATGAAAGTACACCGTGTATATTATATGAATTATAGATCGCTATCGTGAAAAAATAGACAAATCACAATAATATATGAGATAATCAAATTTTATTCTATATTTTTGTTTTCACAAAAATAATATTTAGATATCATTGTCAAAGTTTCTATCAAGTTCGAATTTTTGTTACATCAACATTCAGAGTCATTAATGAAAAATATTTTGTTCAAATAATATCTAAACAGCCAATCCATTTGCAAATAATTTCAAATATGTATTATAAAAAATTAAGTTTAATTATTATTATTAGTTTAATCATTCGCCTTAAACAAACCGCTATTTTTCACTAATTTTGGGGGAGTCAATTCGTAAACTTGGCATTTTTAAAATTCTTATAGACTTTCACTTTTCACTTGATCTTAACAAATGATAGATGTTCTCATTTATAAATGATAGTTCTTATTGGGAAATAATCAATTCCTTCATTTTTTCAAACATATTGATATAATGCATACTTTTATGTGTGCACACTTTTAGACGAAAATTTTTACACTTAACTGCTAATTAAAAAGAAACTGCTTGACTGATCGTTGCACAAATTGGTCCAGTCGTTTTTTAGAAAACGTTGACGAAAGGTTAAAAATCGGCTCATTCTCATTCGATTCAGAATGGCTTCTAGAAAACATAGAATTAGCAAATCAGACTTTTTCATAAAACAAACTTTTTTTTAGAATAATAACACAGATCTACAAAATAGCCTTTGTCCACAAAAAAAATTCGGTGTGCGACATAATTTCCAATGTACCTTGGAACGCTGAACACGAATATAAAGTCAAAATTGGGGGTCAAACCGCAAAAGAGGAGAAACATAAAAAAACGATAAAGTCATCGATCTACTAAATCTTCCGCATGATGTATAGAATCTTAAAATTGTTGTCCTTTCCTAGCCTTTTTACTTTTAAATGACGTAGGAAACAAATCACTGATATACTTTTTTATCTTTACTGAGTTTGTTTTTATAGAATCCAGCAGCAATATATTTATTCGCAATTGTTTCTGAGTAATCTGAAAACATATTTGTAGCTATTTCAAAATATGTTTTCAGATTGCTGCTGAATTCTGCAAAAAGAAACTCAATAAAGATGAAAAAAGCATTGCAAAAATCTCTTTCCCAGGTCATTTAAAAGAAAAGGGAACAACAGAAATTATAAAATTTTAATCATCATGCAAAAGAATTACTTTTTAATTTAATTTAATTAATTATTTTTTATTTTTCTCCGTTTATTACAGTTTGGCCCCCAATTTTGGCTTTAGATCTGTGCTCAGTATTAAAAAGTACTTTGGAAAACATATATTGCATACCAAACACAGACAACTTAATTTAATAATAAAATTTTATTACGTTGTGAAATTGTGTGGTTATTCCTTGTAACTGTAAAACTAATGGTGCATGGCATATTGCATTATGGCAAATTGCTGGAACATCTCGTACCGTAACGAAATGTTCGAGGAATATTAAATGTTTTTAAATATCTACAAAAAATTTATAAACTGAATTACAAAGTTAAAATCATTTATTTAAAGTATATAAGTGAGCTTTAAAACTTAAAACGTTAAAATTAAAATTAAAATCTGAATTATTTTTGAAATACAAAAAAAAATGTTTAAATACTAATATTTTTTTCCAAAGGCAATTTTTTTATCAACACGCAGCAAGTTTTTTGAATCATTCAAATCGGATGCATAGTTCTCTCAGAAACTGCCTTTTTGTACATTTAGCCTTGTTTGACCGTTTAACCTGCCTTCGCCAAAAACCAATCACCACTTCTCCTAATCATTACAAATTGAATGTTTTGTGGATCATTGATATTGGGTACTCCGTTCTCTCAAAAACTCGATTTTTATTTTCTGCACTCTCTGCTCCGCTTTTCCGTATCGACTGGACCTGCATTTGCTAAAAATTAATAGGCACATCTCCCTATCAATAGAAATCGAATGTTTTATTAACCATCCCATTTGGGTAATCAGTACGCCCAAAAACGTGGACAAAATATGCGCACACACAAAACACACACACACATCCATTTTATGAAGTATACCAAAATGCTCAGAAACCTCTGAAACGTGAAGAAATGCAAAAATTTTCATTTTCGATGTTTGGCCCATTACTATAACTTACCCTACGGGAAGTTAATAATATAGGCTTGGTTTTGCATGTATTTTTTGTTTATGTAATTAAATTACTCTATATAGTAATTTAGTAAAATTAGATAATTTTTATAATCTTTAACCAAAAATTTTTTTTCCAGGGATCAATATTCAAGCCGCGCGCTCTGGATGAAGGCGGTGCAGCGAGTCACCGCCGAGAGGGCGCTCTCAGTGCCGGAAGCGACTCCGGAACTGGACGATAGGATATCCGGGGAGGACGGAAACGAGGTGAGTTCGACACGCAAACCCAATTAAGGCTTTCACTTTCGCTATCACTTTCCAAATTCCCTCTTAATTGTGGGTCACATGAGGGCGCAGTTTTAGATAATCTGATTAGCTATACGTACGCTGAAATTATAGTAAGTCGGGTGAAATTTATTTCTCTCAAATTATAAGAGAATTTAAAAAACGTGTAATTTGTAATCGCAGTTATGAAGAAAATGAATTCGTTTTCAAATTTTAATTTTGTGATAGACGATAGGTCTTTTCTCAAAGCCTATCAAAAACTATTTTAAAATTAGCGGTGTGGCATCGTGCCTCAAGGCAAATTTCTAGAACTTCGCGTACCGTAATGAAGTATTGGAAGAATATTAAATGTTTTCAATTATATTGTTATAAATACTGGAACTTTCATTATTTTATTTTTATAGACAAAATATAAAAGCTTATAAATTGGACAATAACGTTTATATAAGTTTACATGACATTAAATAAACATAACTTAATGATCCCCTTCGTAGGGGAGCTAGAATAAGGACTCTTGACTCGAATCTCTGAGACTTATATAAACTGAATTGCAAAGTAAAAATTATTTGTTTGACGTATTTATCTAGAATTAAAATTAAATTCCAAATTATTATCGATATTCAATAAAAAAAATTTGGAAATTAAAAATAAAAAATTAATTTGTTTTTTTTTAGTCCAGTCATTTGGTGCAAAAAAAGGCTGTTGCCGGTACAGTACTCCGGGAATTCTGAAAATTGGTAATTTTATGGTTTTCGAGGTGATCTTTACGAAAATCAACTTTGCCACCTCAAATTTGAACGGCAAGTTACCGCTACATTGGAAAAAAGGCGTCAAACAACAGCTTTTTTAAAATATCTCCTTTCTGGCTGATTCTACGATAAAAGTATTCATGTACGAATTAAACTAGATCAAATTTCCAACAATTCTTTAGAGAACCGTTTTTTTGTAAAATTGATTGTTTGAGAGTACGGCCGCCCCAAAGTCTTTGCTGCTCTCGCACTAGTATCAAATCTCTCCATATATGACAGCACTTTGAACCACATTCTCTCTAATAAATAAATATTTTCAATGAAATTAAGCGAATAAGATCTAGAAATAAAATAATTCAAATATTTTTCTGTTTTTTTGCTGATTTTTTAACACTTCAATGGCAAAGTAGCTATGAGTAAGTAGCTTGAAGTGTTGAAAAATCAGCCAAAAAACATAAAAATATTTGAATTATTTTGTTTCTAGATCTTATTCGCTTAATTTAACATTGAAAATATTAATTATTAGAGAGAATGTGGTCAAGTTCGAAGTGCTGTCATATATGGAGAGATTTGATACTACGGCGAGAGCAGCAAAGACTTTGAGGCGGCCGTTCTCCCAAACTATCAATTTTACATAAAAACGGTTTTCTGAAGAATTATAGAAAATTTTATCTAGTTTAATTCGTAGAATAATACTTCTATCGTAGAATAAGCCAAAAAGAAGATATTTTAAAAAAGCTGTTTTTTGACGCCATTTTTCCAATATGGCGGCAACTTGCCGTTCAAATTTGAGGTGGCAAAGTTGATTTTCGTAAAGAGCACCTCGAAATCTATAAAATTACGAATTTTCAGAATTCCCGGAGTACTGTACCGGCAAAACGACCAAATGACTGGACTATTTCTAAAAACAGTTGTTTTATTTCAATCATTCAAATCGGATGCTTCGTTCTCTCAAAAACTGCCATTTTTTTACACCTAGCTCCGTATATACAAAACGGTTGGACCTGCATTCGCCAAAAACTAATCACTACTTCTCCCTATCATTACGAATTGAATGTTTTTTAATCATTTCAATCGGATGTACGATTCAAGCAAAAACAAAGTTTTCATTTTTTGCACTCTTTGTTTCGTACCTTGGAAAACTGAAACTACCTTTCCCAAAAACTGTTTCTATAAATCACAAAAAGCATTAGTGGAAATCGATTGCTTTCTGAATCTTCTAAATCGGTTGAGCGGTACTCCCAAAAATGTCGATGAAAAATTGTATCTACACTTAGATACACACACATCAATTTTTTCTGGGGTATAACAAAATGTTCGGAAACCTTCAAAACGTGAAGATATGCAAAAGTTTCTAACTTAGATTTTCAACGATTACAATAACTCACCGTGTGGGAAGTTATTAATATTACAGCTTTGTGGATATGATTATAAGCGTAATATGCGATAAAGGGTAACTCGGGGTTTAAAGGTCGCGTATGAAAAAGTCCACCACCAATATCTCAAATACAAGCAATTTTCGAAAAATTTCACCAACCATATTTGAATGTAGCGGGCAAAAAACGTGTTGACAAACCAACCATTGTTTTAAATCAAGCAACGTCGCTATCTGGAAATAAACGGCCATGTTTGAAAGTTTATAACACAAATATTCTCTGACGTATTTAGTCTTTATGGCGTTTTGCACTGTTGTTCAATTTACGAGACCTTTATGTAATTTTCAAGTATATATTTTATAACATGAATTGTTATTTTTAAGTCATATTTGACAGATGATTTTATAAAATCTTACAAGCGGGTGAGGTAAAAAAGATCAACTGAACCCTCATATTTACAACGCCATAAGAAATAAATAATAGAAAACAAGTAAATTCAAGTATATTCATAATAAAATATTTATACTAAAGTAATTTTATAATAAGTAAATTTTATTAATACTTGATTTGCTGGTGTCTATATTTGACGAAATACCAAATCAAAGTTTAAAACAGTGTTACCTTTGTAAAAAATATTCTCATGAATTTATATTTTGTATTGGCTGAATGTTATGAATTGATGGCTGAACTATTATTCCGTAAAATCCCTTTAAAATTGAAAATAAGATTTGATTTAGAGAGTATAATTACTTAAATTAGACCTATGTGCCCCGCAGATTTATGTATGCATATTTATAATTTTTGTTGATGCGAGAGTAGCAACATAGTTTATATTGAATAACGATCATATAATATGTTCATATATTATATAAAGTTTAATAAATGAAATTACGGAAATTGAATAAATGAAATTAAATCACGGATTTCAAAATATGTATCGGATATAATTTTTTTGTTTGATTTAAGGCAAATACACGTAATAAAAAAAACATATATGTATATATAAATTTTTATTACAATATTTAAATAATATTATTGGAACAATACTAAAGGGTAATTTCAGCATATCGATAGAAAACTTTTTATTTAATTTATTCTTTCATAATTGAACCTTTTTTTATTGATCTGTAATGCTTACTTCGAGAGCCAAAATTATAATCATTGCACATTTAATAAAAATCCGAGACGAGCTAGCAAAGGTATCTCCTTGCTAGTATGTATAATAATAATATTATTTGAAATAGTATTATTTTTTTCCCAAAACAAGATAGGTTTTAGTTTCGAATATTTGTCAATATATTTCATATATTATTTCATTATATTATTTTTTAGCCAGCCAAGTTAGTTAATATTTTGTATATATTGTTAAGCTTAATGCGTATAATTCTTTTTGGAAGTTAGTTAATATTTTGTATATTTAAGCCTAATGCGTATAATTCTTTTACATGATGTTTTATTTCTTATGATATTAGCGTAAATTTCAAAATATGTTTTTGCGAATTAGCGAATATAACTAGTGGGGCGCATGGCATCGTGCCTTAAGGCAGATTGCTGGAACTTTCCGTACCAAAAATTATTATTTTTTTAAAAGATTAACATTTTTGAAAAAAAATTACTCTGAAAAATTAGATTTTTTAGAAACTATAAATTTTTGACAAATTTTTTTTTTTTTTTTGAAAAAAAGACTTTCTGAAGAAAAGTGTATTTTGAAATATTTTGGAAATTCTGAACTTGTTTTCAAAGCAATCGTACTGCTTTAACTGCATAGAGACGAAATATCTAAGCGCGTAAGCGCCGTCTTACGGATAAGCAATGGTACGGAACCCATAGGAGAGTAAACAAAATTTATACTTATTGTTAAAATCTCTATAAAATATCTGATAATTAGATGTGATATGTTTGATGATCATTTTTGACCGCCAGGTGGCATTTTATTTACTTTTTTTACTAGATCTCCGAAACTGCTAGACCTGCCTTTATGAAAATTTGATCAGTTCTTCATCTTGTTAATACAAGTAAAATGTTTTTTGAATTATTCAAATCGGATGCTGCATTCTCTTAAAAACTGAGTTTTTGGTACTTTTTGTCCCATATCTTCGGAACGGCTAGACCTGCCTTCGCCAAAAACTAATCAGCACGTCTCCTTATCAATACAAATCGAATGTTTTTTTAATTATTCAAATCGCTTCATCCGTGTTCCGAAATCGTCGACAAAAATTTGTATCCGAACACACATACAAACACGCACACACACACACACACATACACACACAAACACATCCATTTTTTCTAAGGTATGCCAAAATATTCAGAAACCTTTGAAACGTAAAGATATACAAAAATTTTCATTTTCGATTTTTTTGCGGTTACTATAACTTACCCTACGGGAAGTTAAAAATAAAGCATTAATTTCTACTAATGTTTTTATTTTTATTTATTTTATCAAATATTCAGTTCAATGTTAGTTGTTTTTATGGTAAATAGATTCTTCCTATACTTGGCAGCTTAGGGTTTCTCTTTATTTGAGAGGTGTCAAAATTCGAAATGTAGGAAAATAACTCGCGTACAAATGCCTTTGGAAATGTGCACAAAATATAAATGTAAAAAAGAAAACATATATATGTACACATATTCTATGTATATCTATGATCCGATGACATATTCTTATTGATGGTGACGTGTCGTGAAATTTTATCAGTTCCGCCAGAACTTTATTTGATATGCGGAAGTTTTTCTGTCAATAGAAAAGTGTCCTATTAGGCGATATAACTTTCCTAGAGAATAAGGAAATACATCTTTCCTCGAAATTGATGATTGTGAAGTTTTTTGCGCTTCTACAAATCCACGGAACTAATAAAAACTTATGCACCATATATTAAAATCATTTGGTAAAACACAAATAGATATTGCTATATGCCATAAAATGACCCAGTTGTAAGTAATATTTTGCTTTAAGGCAAGTTTAATGAACTTTCAGATACCGTATAACTAATCAATTTAATCTACAAGAATTAAGTTCAGCCATATCAGATAAAAAGTCCAAATGTTTATTTCGAAAATATATAATTCGCTTTCATCAAAAGCGATTTTTGAAAGATTTATATTTTTTAATCGTACTTATAATATATGTGATTGTATAAATTAAACAATTTGTTTTATTCATTTCTTTTGATCTAATTCGTGTTCTGAAAATATATTTCATTTGAGTGTGAACGTAAACTGTAATCAGTAGCTACCAACTAAACAGCACAGAATGTGCATTTCGGCCTAGATTATGATTAGAATAGCGTGACAAAATTCTAAACTGATATTTTTTTATAATTCAACCTTTATCATAGACCTATAATATTTTAGTATGTTATTTTAGACTATGAAATCTATTGTTGTACAAAGTTTTATCACAATCGTCAAAAAAAATTCATACTTAATTACAAAAAAAAACGGCTCGACCTTTCTTTTCTAAAAACTAACCAACGCGATTCCTTTGGAACAGTTTTCGAATTTTTAAATTCGACTCAAAATTTTGGGATATAACGTCAATCGAAAACGAAAATTTTTCGAAAAAGTTCCAAAAAATTTCAAACATCTGAAAATTTTGAAAATTTTTCTAAACTATTAAAAAATTTCTGAATTATCAAAAAAATCAAATTCAAGTTGTCAACAGAATACGCTCGTCTCTCAATTTAAGAAGCACTTATTAATTTACAGTATGTATTTATGATAATCTATTTACAATAAATCAAAACAATTATCCATTATTTTCATTCCTCAAATGTTTAATTACGACAGTGGAAGTTCCAGCAATTTGCCTTAAGGCATGATGCCTTGCACCCCACTAGCTGCTAATTAATTTTGGCTTTTAAAATTTTGTAATCGGTCTAGCCGTTTTTTTAAGGCGTCGACGAAATATTAATATTCAGTTCACATACCCACACATTAGGGAATGCAATAATAATGAAAAATTTCAATACCGGTATTTCGGTAATTTTTTATTTTAAAACTGGAATACCGGTAAAATACCGATATTTTTATTATCCTAAACAAATGTAAACAATATTGAGAGTTACTAGTACAAATATAAAAAAATTATATATACGACTACAACTATATTCAACTAAAAAATAAAAAAAAACAATAAGTTTATTTTTGTAATAATAATTTAACAAAATTATATCCAATTTAATTAACTCATCATTATCGAGTATATAGAGTACTTTTTACCAAAATTAAACGTATGAGTAAGAAAGACCAAAAACTGATAAAAGATCATATTACTCTATTATAATAAACTGTATTGTCTGTATCCAATGTGTTAAATTAGAATAATTTCAAATATTTAGATTAAGAGTTTAAAAAAGTATTTTTTCTACTAATTTAAGATCCGATACTTTATGAAGATAAATAATAACATACTATAATAGTAGAGTATTTTTATTTCAATATAATGGTCCTATATTATTTTCAAACTGCGATACGTTTTGGGTGAAATAATATTTTATGTAATAATATTATTTTATTGTAATAATAGTATTTCAAAAAGAGCTTGTGTAAAAATACCAAAAATGCCTGTATTTTTAGGGTAAATACCGATATTAATACCGCCGAAAAATCGGGCGGTTTACTGGTATTTCGGTAAAGCGGTATACCGGTATTGCATTCGCTACCACACATACTGTCTCCAAATTTGGTCTCATTCGATTCAGAATGCATTTAGCTTCATTGCTGAAAGATTCTTTTTTATTATCTAGATTTCATCTTGCAAATTTGTTATTTGTAGTACTGTAATCTTAGAATTAATTGGGACAGATGAAAAAATAATGATAGTGATAGAGATTATTGAAACTACCGCTTAAAATGTGAGCACTGGTATTACACTAAAGACCATAGTCATCACATAGTTTTACGGTAGTTTATCATATATCTATCGTTTCGTATTAACTAATACAATTGAAAGCTTAATCGAGTTTATTACTAATTAAATGCTCAAATGTACCCTCAATGATACCGATAAAGTTGATGAAATCCCTGGGGTTACATTAACTGTTATTGCACATATTAATTACATTGTTGATGAAATGACACTAAATGGCATGAAGTGCACAACACAGGGATGTATTTCTAAAAATTAACATCAAAGTTTAAATTTTAACGTTTCAACTACTTGAAGAAGAAGTTTATATTTTCACAAAAAAATCCAACAAAATTAGCAAATTTTATGTTTACTAGTCGTTTCAAGTTATTCTTAATCGTTTAGGACTAAACTAGGAAAAGGCATGTCTGTGTGTGCACGTGGGTTTACTTTTGCGTTAAAATTTTTGTTAATTATTTTTTTAAAAAATAATTTTTTTTAAAAACTCGATGCGGACTAGCGTTGATTAGTTTTGCTCGACAATCAGCTGAGCCATTTCTTTATGAAGGCAGTATAAATTTATTCCTGAACGTTTTAACTCACAATTCTTAATCAATGTTAAAATTCAACATTCAATAACTGTTCGAAAGATAAAGTCCGGCCGCGCCATTTATTATTAAATTATTTTAATATTTTATACCTCTACTTTAATCAAACTTTTTATGATAATAGAGATTATGGTCTTAGAATTAAATCTTTACGATTGATTTTGAAAATGCATCGAAATTATTGAAAATTAAGGTAGACATTCACTCAATAACGACTCAACCGATTTCATTCAAAAGCCTTTCGATGAAACTTGATAAGCACTTGCATTAGTAATTTTCGAAACGATCGCCGGAGCTGTTTTTTAGAATTAGCAGAAATGTTCAAATCTTCTATTTTTTAGCCTAAACCTTTGTGAAATGGTTTTGAAAATTGAAAAACATTTCTAAAAATATCACTTGGAAATCATGATAATTAGTTTGTAGCAAATGTTAGTTGGTTCATTTGTTCGTAACTTGATTGTTAAAAAAAAGTGTTTGCGTTTTGATAAAACTTTCATCAAATTTTTGGTTAATGAATATACTATGATGTTATATATTTACGACAAGTGTTTCAATAGTAAAAGGATTAAAATTTGGTTAATAAGTTGCCCTTATAGAAAATACTCCTTGTAAGTATTAGGTGCAATATTTAAACCATTTGGCAAAAATATGTACACAATATTTCGAAAATAGGTACAAAATTTAATAATCTGCATTAGTTTTTCACGTTATAATATTCTGCATCAACTCAGTATACTTATAAATCACTCATAAATTTAATTGTTAGAAATCTTGATAATGTCTTTTATCTAACCAACTATATTTTATAACTTTATCGCAGTTAAGAACCAATATGTATATTTATGATAAATTTTCTCAAATTTATTCTAGGACTGCAACAACACTCACACACCTCGTTGTCCAGGCGATGGTGCTCTTTCATCAGAGGATGGGAGTAAATTTAATGAAGTCACAAAACCATTTGCAGCGAATGGCAATGGTTTTGTTGGTGGCGATGAGAAAAAAGAATTAGATTCTGAATCGATAGGCTTAAAACCTCTTGGAAATGGAAGGCCTCCTGATACGATACCTGACGGGGACTCGAATCCTGCACCTGCCACTACTGCTACTGTACTACCCCACAGGACTGATAGGAAGCATGATGACGATCAAGCGTCGCAGGCAGGTATTTCATCAAATATATTTAATCATTATAATTTTACTTTTTTGATTTTATGGCTGGTACATAATAGTATATTATTTACTTGTTCGAAAACATCAATAATAATTTTACTTTTAAAGGCTTCATCTCCAATCATTATGACATATTTAAGAAAAATATATGCATCACCGAATGTGCATTTTTTCTATGAATAAATGCATGTATGCCCGAATGTAATTCTTCTGCTTCGTTTTTTGATGAAATGGTTAATAAGGAATTATTTTGATCTGTTACTTTCGGCTTTTACTAATTATTAGTGATTAATTGATTAAAATAACATTTAATTCACACACACACACATTTGAATAGTTACTTATTGCAAGATGGATTACAAGACATTTTAAAGAAAAAGCAAAATTGGAATCAGATTTTTGAGGAACCATTCAAAATTATCAGTTCATTTGAATTGACGGTCTGTGCTTGGCAAAGACCTTGGTGTGATTTTTGTTATTGGGAATAGGTGTTAATAAGAGAAGTGCAAACAAAATGACATGGAGTTTTGTTTTTTAATTATGTTTATTATTTAATAAAATTATAACCAGTCTCAATCATTTTAACTGATCTTTGGTTTATTGACTTCCTACTTTAATTAAATAGGAACTATAATAATATATTTATTAGCAAAAAATGCAACCAATTGCAAGAACCATTTTGTACATATACTACGGACAAAATCTATAAGCAAATAGCATACTGAAATGCTAATTTTTAAAAAGCAAAGGCAGTTTATAAGTAAATCGATTGGTCCTCTCTGAGACATCAGCACATAAAGCGTGAGACCAAAGAGAACAAATTATACATCGGAAACATCGTCGGGCTCATATCAGTCTCTTCTTTTTACCGGTGGATCCTTTGGTCTGTTTTCACTAGTAGTAAGATTAGTAGTTAAAAGCCAATTCTTTTTTACAGGTTTCATTTGTTTCTTTGGTCTGTTTTCAGAAGTAGTAACATTAGTAGTTAAAAGCCAATCCCCATTTACAGGTTTCATTTTTCCTTGGCTTTAAATTAACTGCCACCTAGTGTTTGCTAAATAGTACTATGTCATTTTATCTATTGTATAAATACATATGTAATTTTGTCTGAAATTGAACAATGAATAAATATCGAAAATTTCTTGAAACACCTGATCGAAATTATTAGTACTAGCATAAGTTCATTGATCTGAATAATAACAAATAAGTGTAAATAAGTGTTCAAAAAACATGAGTAAACCGCCCTCAAAATAAACTTTTGAATGACGCTCAGCATATGACAGGATTGTGATTATGGATTTCTGCATATTATACAGTAGCAAAAACGTTAATAAAACTAGCCAATTTTCAAATAAGGGCACTATGTCATTTTGTTTATAAATACCATTATATTTTAACGGAGTAAGACGGGACAAAAAGGTTCAATTTGACTTTGAGCAATTATATTGTGAAAACCAAGCTAATTATATCCAAACAAATAACACTTTTTAAACGAACAACAATTTGACTATGTTCAGATAATTAACTCATCATTGTAGAAATGTGTTTTTTTGCAATTTTTCAAAAGTTTGTCACTTGGTCCTTATTAATCTATAGACGAGGTAAAATGGTAAGGCCAAGGGGCAAACAGATCCAATGTTTTGTTTTCAATTTTAAAGGAATTTTATGAAACAGTAGCTGCATTATTCAACCAATAATTTTTTGAGTTCTTTTCTTACAAAGATAACTTTTGCCAGGCTAAAAATTTAATTCATCCTTTTTACCACACGTTTTCGTTTACGTTTTCCTGTTAATATACATGAGTAAAGTTATATACCTTTAAATAATTGAAAAAGAACTAAAAAGATTTTTGGGTGTTAAATATTATAAAATAAAGTTGCTTTATTTAACATAGGTACTCATGGTTGAATAATTTTAGGAATCATAGAAAGATATCTTGTCTTGTCTTAAGATATTAAGAAATTGTTGCTTATACCTCAAACATTTGACTTTATTGTCATTGTCCCTAACAGTTTTTGTTTTATTGCAGAAGAGCACGTCTTCAAACGAGGAGCTGTATATAAGGGCATTCATTGGCCATCCCTCACAAATAGTTTTAATGACTCTCACTTAGAATTATCATATTTGCGATATTCGCATAGGCAAAGACAAAAATCATTAATTATAGTTAATGTAGTCGATTTATTATTAAAGGTAAGCAATTTAAAAATTATATAAAAATTATGATTAGTTTTTGTTATTAAATCGATAAATTTGCTTATTTTTAGGCAGCCATGGCTTCCGTCTGGGCATTCCGCAGGCCGGAATCCGAACCGATAACGGCGGAAGGTGTTTCATGGACAGTTTGCTGCATGGCTGCCAACATATCAGTTTGTGTATTAGGTTGGTGGAGATGCTTCGCTAATAATTATCTTCATTGGGCAGCCATGTGCACGTGGCTGCTCCTTAATGCGCAAGGTAAATTATTTGCTCTACATATTTTATTGATTAAAATTAATTAACTTTTTTTTCGAATATTATTATATAGATACCAAAAACTAATTGTAAGAGTTCTATAAAAATTTTGGCTTATCAGCTATTAATGGCTATTAATTATGTCTTGAATGAGAAATGCAATAATGTGAAATTCTTCTGCACTGAAATCGATTTAAAATAACTTTAAAGTTAGTATTTCTATTCTTATTGGAGTTAAAAAATTAATAATTACGCCATAAAATTTATAATTTGCTTATGTTTCGTAAAGCTCAGGGCACTTTAGGTATCGTAGTGAGAAAATATGCATGCGGATACTCACGATCAAAATCAGACTAGGTGAGTAGCTTTTTGTCTTAGGACGAGTTACAAAAACTTTCTAATTTTTGCAAATAATAGGCTTATTTAATAAAAATTGAGATCCTGCGATTAAATGTGACTTAAAATCGTCACTTTTAGTACAGGGCATCCGTTTTAAGAAAATCTTGACTCGTACGTTACGTTATATATTATTAAATATTTGTGTCAAATGACTTATATATTTGTGTCAATATCGTATTGACAATAAATTATAGTTGGATTTCATAAACTAGTGGTGCATGGCCTTAAGGCAAATTTCTCAAACTTATCGTACCGTAATGAAATATTTAAAAAAATCAATAATCAATTGTTAACAATAAAAAACAATTGTTTTAGATATTTTCAAATAGGTAACTATAAATACTAAGTATTTTATCGTTTATATATTATACAGATATTTAACTACATTTTATAGTTCATATATATATATTGATTTTTTTGCCAATTAATTTTTTTTTTCCAGAATACTCGGAAATTTGAATTTTCATCTAGTATTAACTAAAATTCTATTTTTTATCAGTATCTTCACATTGCCAGCAAAATCTTTTTTATTTTTGAATCATTCTTATCGGATGATCCGTGCAACTTGCATGACCATTTTTTGCACCCTTTGCACTCCGTACCTTCGTAACAACTATCTTTCGTATAAACTAACTAGTATGTCTCGCAGTTAGTGTGAACCGAATGGTATTTGAATCAGTCAAGTCAGTAAATTCATACTGTCAAATATTTGCACTATACAAGTAAACATTAAAAATAAAAAGTCTTGGTACGGAATCCAAAAAAAAATAAACAAAATTTTTATTGATTTGTTAAATCTTCATAAAACAATTTGTCACCACCAAAAGAATTTTTTTTTAACTTTTTTTTGAATCTTTCAAACAACTGGACTTTACTTTTCAAAGAATCGGCTATTTCTTCATTTTGTCAATATAAGTAAAATGTTTCTTGAATCATTCCAATCGGAACATCAGGTCTCTCAAAAACGAAATTCCCATTTTTGCACTTTTTGCCCCATGCCTTCAAAACGGGTAGACCCGTCTTTGCGACTAATCAGCGCACCTTTTAATCAAATCGGTTGATCTCTCGAAAACGTCGGCGAGTAGTTGTATCCGCACATACATACATAGCACGCATACACATGCACACATACATTCGTTTTTCAAGGTACGTCAAAAGTTCAGAATCCTTTGATTCGCAAAGATATTGTAAAAAATGTATTTTCAATTTTTATGCGATAACTATAACTTATCCCACAGGTAGTTAATTGATAGATCGACTAACGTATTTATGTATAAAAATTGGCAGACGGTTTTGAGAACCAAATAATATTATTTACTTTATTTATTAATAACATAGAACCAAACTAGTTGGTATTGGTATTTTGTCTTGAGGCAAGTTACATGAACTTCTCGATATGTGTAAATAATTTATGAGTGATTAAAAGTATTACAAGTGGACTTATTACACATAATTGAAAACGAACGAACACGTTAATTTGGAGTATTTTCTAGAAACAAATTTTCAAAAATCAATAATTTTTGTAATTGAGCCAGTTTCCGTGACTTTAATGGTTTAGTATAATATGTTCAGTAAGACCAAGTACTCTATCGTTATACCAAGTAAATTGTCTAATTTTAATCTTAACAAACGTCAAAAAACTACTCATTTTCTCAAACTTTGATGAATTTTTTAAATTAAATTACTTGTCGTAAGGCCGTAATATTTTAGTAAGTTCTATAAAACCATGATATATATCGCCAAAATGGCTTTATAAAAATCGGCTTAATTATTTTTTTCAACAGCTATTTACAAGAAAACGGCTCGGTAGATTTTCACCTGAAACCAATCAGTATCATTCCCAACTATTATCTTTTGACCAGTTTTTGATTTTTTAAAATCGATTCGATAGTTTGAACTTAAATGTGGACGATAAGTTTAACACTTATTTTTAAATTTCAAAGAAATAATTTCAGACCGTCTCACAAAACTGACAAACGATAGTCCTCATTGAGATACATTAAATGGCTTTTAAATTTCTGAAATCGGTTCAAGCGTTTTTGAGAAAACGTCGATCAAAGTCTAATTTTGACAAATGCCAAAAATACGATACTAATTTTTGCAAACTTTGAAGAATTTTTAAAATTAAACGACTTGTCGTAGGGCCGTAATATTTTAGTATGATCTACAAGACTAGATCTACCATGAAAAAATTATAAAAATTGTCGAAACTTTTTTTTTAACTTTAATACAAGAAAACGGCTCGGCCGATCTTTACCAAAAACTAATCAGCACGATTCCCAACCAATATCTATCGAATAGTTTTTGAATTCTCAAAATCGATTCAGAATTGCGGGCTAAAGCGTGAACGAAAAATTTTTCTCTTTTCTGCTATTTACAAAGAAACGACCTCAGAAACGCTAGTCCTGATCGAAATACATCGAATGGCTTTTAAATTTATGAAATCAGTCCAGCCGTTTTGGAGAAAACGTCCATTTACGGAAAAAATCTGTTTATACATACACACATATACATACACGCACATACTTTTTTTCAAAATTTGGTTTCATTCCATTCAGAATGGCTTAAAACGTCGAGAAAAATAAAATTAGCGAGTCGGATTTTTTTATGAAAACAAACTTCTCCTTCGGGAAGTTAATAAAACTATTTGCTTTATTTATTACACATAAACCTAAATTTAAATTAAATTATGTTAAAAAACCATCGGAATAGAAATATTATTCAGATTGAGTTTCCAGATTCGTTTGCAATTGCATCGCAAAAATTCATTCTTTGCTTTTCGTTTCCTCAGGTTTTGTTGGTGAAGGATTGGGATTTACATCTCGAGAGTACCTGGTGTGGTACGTTTTATTCATTGTCTTCGTACCTTACGCGATGCTGCCGCTGCCCTTGCGATGGTGCATGGCAGCTGGGTGCGTTTCCGCGTTGTCGCATATAGCTGTGACGAGTGCAGCTAAATTTCATGGAAGAGAGGATGATCTGGTAGGTATAAATATTTCTTAATGATAAAAATACAATATTGTTTGCATCATTTCTTTATAGTAATAAATTTAAAATGAATAAAACTCAAGTTTGACTTTTTGTTCTATTTACAGGAAGTGAGTTGCATTCTTCGTCAGCTGCTGGCCAATTTTCTTTTATATTTTGCTGTTAATTTTGCTGGAATGTATACTAAATACTTGACTGATAGAGGACAGCGTAAGGCATTTCTTGAAACGCACAGGTCGATGGAAACACGATATAGAACACAAAAAGAAAATGATAGACAGGAAAAACTTCTATTATCAGGTCAGTCAAAAAAATTGTATAGCTAATGTAGGTATTATTTCTAAACAAATTGACTCAATATTATAATTAAAAATTCTCATTAACTTCTCGTAGGGTAATTTATAGTAGTAGCAAATGAAAATTTATAAATGAAAATTTGTATTAAATCTACGTTCAAGACCTTCTGAAATTTTGGTACCTTAGAAAAAAAATTATGTATGTGTGTATGTTTGCTGTGGATACAATTTTTTGCCCACAATAGAGAGCACGAATCAACCGATTTGAATGTTCCAAAAACATTCGATTGCTATTAGGCAAAGAGAGTAACAGGAGTTTCGAAGTGTGAAAAAAATGGGTTTGGGTAAAAAGTGCAGAAAATGTCATGAAAGAACGGAACATCTGATTAGAATTATACATTTTGCTTAAAAATGCTCACTGAAAAATTGATTACATTATTGCGAATGCAGGTCCACCTGTTTCGGAGTTACGGAGAACAAAGTTGAAATAATGGGATTTGGTGGTCTAAAATAATTATTACAAGTCATCATTGTTGATGTAGAAATATTAATACTAAGTCGACAAGCATACAAGGGTAAACAGGTGAACAGGTAGACAAGTAGACAAATAGAAATATATAAATATTGAGATGTAGACAAAAGACATGAAGGCAGGTAGATAGGGAGAAAGGAAGACGGTTAGGCAAGGAGACTAGTAAACCGGTAGAATGCTGGACAGGTATACAGGTAGTAAAGTAGAAAATTATACAAGTAGGCAGATCGACTGGTTGGCAGATAGACAAATAGACAGGTCGACGGATGATCAGATAAGCAGTTACAGAAATTGACAGGTATGCACTTTGACAGGTAGACACTTGGGCAGGTAAATGAGTAGACTGTTACGCAGGTAGATCATGTAGAAAACAAAAATTCATTAATTAAATCGATTATTCATACATATATTAAGGCAAAATTCAACGTACGCAAAGTTTTATCTTGCAGTAGTATCAGTTTTAAAAATATTTCAATAAACATTTATTCAAAATTGTCTCACTGAGTGGATAACAGGCAGTGGTGACTATTCTGAAGCTTATAATCCGAATTTTTTGGATGCCATTATTCCTTGTGATATATCCTTCGTACTACAAAAAAAAAATTGAGTTAATAATCAAGAATAGTTTTTGTATCCCGTCGATCAATTTGCTAGTAGTGCCAATGTTAAAAACCAACTTCTATTTAAATTAAATATATTTTTAATTTTTAGTATGTGACAAAAATAATGGCTTATTAAGAATGAATGATTCCACTGCCGTTGACAAAAATAATGAGCACAATTTTCAATTGACATATTGCTAATAAATATAGGTTTCTTAAGAATCCTAAACAATGAAAACTTCTGTTCTTAAATATAAAACAATGGCTAGACCGATCTTCACAAAATATCAATTTGCTTTTCGACTGATTTTTCACAGTATCACATATTTTAGAAATAGTTGAAGCTATTTCAAGTAAATTAAACATTAAATCAATTATTATTAGCTATGAATATTTGTTCGATCTTATTGGATGAAATAGTCGAACCATTTCTTAAAATAATAAAATGAATACTAAATCTTTCGAAATTTTGTGATCATTCGAGTTTAGCTCCATATCTCCAAAACTGCTTACGAATTGAATGTTTTTTAAATCATACAATTTCTCCACTTAATTTTTAGGCTAGACCTGTCTTTGCCAAAAACTAATCAGCACGTCTCCCTATCAATAGGAATCGAATGTTTTTTAAATTATTCAATTCTGTTCGATTCAATTTTAATGTTAATTATTTAGAGGACAAAAAATTATATCCATACATATACATACAAACATAAATGAATGTGTATCCATTTTCTAAGTATGCCAAAATATTAATAAACCCCTGATCCGTAAATATATGCTAAAATTTTCATTTTCGATCTATGGACGATTACAATGAGGAATGTCAATAAATTCTAATGCAAAAGACTTATTCAAATTAATCATTCATATTTAATAAATATAATAAAAAAACAAATCTTTATGTAATCCTTCGCAAATGATACAAAATTAACACTTATCCAACAAATAATTCCAATATCAGTTTTTAATTGGCGTCTTGAAATTGAACTCTTTCCCTTTATGTTGTCAAGTCAGTCGCCTTTTCTCATTAATCAGCGGGGACAGAGGTACTCGTCAATTCTCGCGCTCGAAATCCAATTAGTATCATCGATCACTCGATGGGCGATGCTATATAAGGCTTTCCTTTTATATGGGTTTAAGGTAGCCGTCGTTTAATACTTAAGAGTAACATAGAGTAAATATCGTGAATTAAAGCACATATTAAATATCATTTAACACATCCTCGATATTTTTGTTTTTATTTAAACATTATCATCTATTCATTTAGTTATATATTTGTCTTACATAGGTGCGCAGACAATTTTCAAAACGTTAATCAATTTTTATACTAATTCGTCTTTTATTAGGTCTGCCATATTGTAAGGGGTTGTTTCAACTATCAACGCTCCATATGCAATTTTGTCAAAACCTCATTCAAAAAGACACGGAGGTCCATTTTGATTTCTGGCAATTATTCTGATAACGACAAAACTGAAACATAACTGTGTTAATGCAAATAACACACATCAAACAAAAATTTATCGAATTATTAATTATTGTAGAAATAACCAAACTCATTGAAATACGATCATTACAAATAAGATAAAGAAAATTTTTGTTAGAAATTCTTACATCTTGTGCAAATTTTTACAAATTTCACACTGCCCACAACGACAACGTTCGTATGAGACTTTATCAGAAGAATTCATCATCAGATCTGGAAAAGCTATTAACTTAATTTATCTCTAAAAAATCAATTTTTTTTTAGCTTATTGTACTTTGTTACTTACTATTATTAACATCTTGATAGTATAAAGTTTCAGCTAATTCTTCTTATTATTCTGCAAGGGTTTCATAGGTTGTGTAAAAAACACTTGTGAATCTAATTTAAAAATAATAATTTACCTTATAAAATAATTAAAAGTGAACATAAAAATTATATTTTGATGTGGTAAACTATAGTATATAATAGGGATCAAAACCAAAAACTAACAACGAATCTTGTTGCAATACCTTATCGTTCATCAGGTTCAGCGGTCATAATAATTTTATAAAATTTATAAATAACTTCACAGTTTTAATTTTTGAAATTACTATTTTATCTACAAATATCTATCGCACTATGTTCGGTAAAATTTCCAGTTAATTGCTAATTATGGAAATGTGCTTTTTTACTATTTTTCTAAAATTTGTCATATGTTCCTTTTTACCCTATAAGCGGAGTAAAATGGAACAGTCGGAGGCAAACAAATCTAATGACTCATTAACCAGAGCAAAATAGCACATTTTTTACAAAGATATCACTGTTAATAACCTAGCTCTGGTACGACATCAAAAATATTTATCAGCAGAAATGGAAAAACTATTAATTTAATTTTCTTCTTGTGAAATGGATTTTTTAACCAAATTTACACTTTTATTCACTATTTATTTATTACGCTTTTGCCAGGGTAAAGGATCAGTTGGTTCTTTTTACTCCATCCACATGCAAGCTATCATATAAGTTATATAAGAAAAACTGTTGAATATAACTTTAAATTAACAATACATTTGATAAAACAATCAAATAACTTATATTTAAATTATATTAAGATTTCGTAAACTAAATAACTGACAACGAAAGAAAATACTTTTGTAATAGATTTTCAGCATGGCCGTTTAACTCCTGATAGCGACTTTGCTTGATTTAAAGCAATGGCTTTTCCCCTCTACTTTTAAATATTGTTGTTGAAAATTCCAATCTTTACTTGTTTTTAAGATATTAGTAGACCTTTCCACCGCCAAACCTTCAATCTCGTAATCATTATTTGGTATTCTTGTCTCGTAATACGATTTCTAAATAATACAGTGATTTCCAACCTGTGGGGCGCGCCCCCCTGGGGGGGCGCCATACCGTACAAAAGGGGGCGCAAAGCTGTTTCAAAAATATTATTTTTAAATGCTGAGTAAGTGTCAAAAACAAATCAGTAAAATGCTTAAAGTACTTCTAAGAGTGTTTGAACTCAAAAAAGTAATTGCTATATTTCTTGCTGATAACAAAAGAGACGGAGCAATCTTGTTTTAGGACACAAATTTCCTCGCAAAATTTGCTTATTTAGTTGATATTTTTCAAAGACTTAGCGATTTAATTAAATCAATGCAAGGATCTCAAATTTGTGCTTTTATTCAGAAAGACAAGATTACGGATTCAATGAAAAAATTAGAACTGTGTATAGCTAGTATCAAATAACTTTATAACTTTAACAAGTTTTCCACTTTTAAAATTACTTGTGTTACTGATGAAATAGAAGTAAGTAAAGATCTTATTATTATATCAGTCATATGATTAGTCTACGAAACCAATTTTTGCTTTACTTTATCTAATTACGTGCAAATACGAATGGATTAGAAATCCATTTGTCATTGAGAAACATGATGATTTTGGTAATTCAACAGCAGGGCAGAAAATGATAATTGATTTATCTAGTGATAGCATATTGACGCAGATGTTTCAGGACGAAAATATATTGTTAAGTTTTGGTTACCAGTAAAGGGCGATTTTCCTACTTTGGCAAATAATGCTTTAGAAATTTTATTACCATTTGTGAGATCTTACTTATGTGAAACAGAAAATTCTTATAATAAATAGTTATGTTAGTATTATTTGGCATAATTTCAGTTATATTAAGTATATTTAAATTAAATTGTTAGAAAAATAAGAATGGGAGGGGGGCGCAATATTTTTATCATTCGAATGGGGGGCGCAAGGAAGAAAAGGTTGGAAACCGCTGAAATAATATTTTATTTAGAATATATATGACAGAAGAAATATATCAGCAATATAGAAATATTTTGTACCTCCTTCAGTTAAATAACTTTTGTAATTAGATTTTGTGATGTACTCGCTTTTTG